TATCAGACCCAGATCCCTCTCGGACTGTTCCAGTGTCAGTCGTGGCATTTCAGTGGGTATTATTTATCACGAGTCTCACATCCCGTCAGTCTCATTTATACACCATGATTACACGTGTTCTTCACTTTCTCCTAACACATGTCGTGGATGTGTATCACATGGAGTATTGTTGTGCTTGAAAGGTGTGTTTCGCACTGATTTAGTGTGAACATATGTTTTGTACATTTTTGCAATTTCATTTTCAATGTGGTTAAGTTTCTCTTGTCCGTTGGGTCATCAAATGAGATGAATGTCATAGGTAGATATTTCTGAAAGATCCTTGAACGTCACAAACAATATGAAGCTAGTAACTTATTCACCAGTGAACACACACTGGAAGACATGGTACTTGTTAAAAGAGGCAATTGCATTAGGTATCATATTTGTCGTATCCTCTACAAGCCTAATGTCAGATAATCGACATACCTCAAGCTTTTGAAAACTTGAACATCTTTGTCAAATTTCCTTGTCTCGATTTTGCACATTCGAATTCAACTAGTGACTCGTATGTGTAAAATAACAAACAGATGGCGCTCAAGGAGATACCTACGTCTGGCCTTAATGCCCTGTCCTCATTTTTCACATTGATGTTTTCTATGACAAAGTCCAGATGACATTTGCTCTCAATTTTGACAAACTGAAACTGACGTTCAAGGATTATATCCATGTTCATGCTATATCAGTTGAGTGACAAATGTCCCTAAGAACTAGAAATGAACATTTTGTTTTGTGAAACTGCAGTGAAAATGATGCTAAGTGCATGCAGATTTGACATAATTGAATTCGGTTTCTCTCAGAAATTGAAATTTCAGATTTCAAGCAAATCCTTGGAGAGTCTACGTACTACAGTGTTTTCACGATCTAAGTACGAGCCGATTATGTGCCTAATGTTTCGCAAGAATGGCAAACGTCAAAGACAGACATCGCTTCTAAGTTCTCCCCAAGTTCAGCTGACACATCGTGATGTAACTGGATTACTGCTAAACGCGGCATGGAACTAAACCCACCCACTTTGCTCTCACTATTTTCTGCAAAATGTACACCAGAGGAGTAGGGAATATATTCACAGAGTATAGAAACATGTCCCGAGTGATGCTGATGGATAGATGGGTGGATAAGAAAACGGAAGGACGAGTTGTTACATTACAATCAGCAGAACATGTTGGTGATGTATAGTTCTGTTCTAAACGAAGACGACAAGGATGTACAGTAAACAATTGAACCTTTGAGGTTGCTTGATCAGACGCATCCCCAGTGACACGGCCACGTATTTCAAGAACGTCCAGAGTGACCCTGGACTCATCTACACAACATTACACGAGACCATAGACAGCTCCCCAAGTATCCAAGCTGCAAACGTCATTAGTGTCTGTCTGGAAAGTGCCAATTTGTGCACACGTGGTAGCCGAGTATGCATATTATCTGCATGCAGACAATTTCTAATTGTCTGGTTAGTGACGGTGGCCTGGCGCAAGTCAACAACAAATTCGTGGGCTATTTTGGCTCGATTTGTTAAAGCCTGGTTTCTGATGTGGTACTGGCCATTTGCGGGCCGATTATTCTGTATCTGCATTAAAGTGAAAGACTTCCACTTGCTGGGTTCTACTAATCTGACGCATACCAATAGCTAACAGGCGTTCATCACATAGAAGACGACGTTATTTCTAATCTGATCAATATTTTGCACTAAAGCATTAGGAGAAGCATTGTTTTACGTGGATTTGAAAATCAACGATATTAATGGCGCAGAACAAATGTTATTGATTGCTCCTTTATCATTGTGGCATTTGCTAATTTGGGCACAACAAAATATCACGGTTCAGGATTTACACACGTGACACAGCAATGTTGTTCCTTTGTACATATAATGTAGCCGAAATATAATACCCTTGCTTTGACCACACATACACAAGTCATACTAAGTTCTATAGATACAGTTCTACGGTGTTTTAATGTCAGGCAATCTGTAACAGAAAGTAAAAAATCAAATATGCCTAACATTGTACCGGGGGCGGAGGGGTAGCTAAGTGGTTAAAGCGTTCGCTCGTCACGCCGAAGACCCGGGTTCGATTCCCCACATGGGTGCAATGTGTGAAGCCCGTTTCTGGTGTCCCCCGCCGTGATTTTGCTGGAATATTGCTAAAAGCGGCGTACAACTAAATTCACTTACTACATCGTACCGTAACAACACCGTTTTATTCTGGTATATCCTATTGCGTTCAAAGGCACAATATCATGGCAATGACTAGAACACATATTTATTATCCCAAATCAATCCAATGTTCTTCAACGTTATCAGTTATTATCATGATGCACCTGTTTTAATTATACCTAAACCTATAATCTTGTAACTAATACTGAACACAATAAAGTTCCAGTTTTAGATCATGGATGTACGGAATACTATTTTCATGACGAATTAACTGTCTTTGTATGTCCAAGAAAGGTATTTAATATAGTAAATACAGTTGATAATGATACGGAATCTTAATTAACTTTCTGGGTCTCAAATGTCATGACTTCATTTGAGTCAAGCATGGTAATGAAATAGTAGCATAGGTATGGTAGCCACTCTGAGAATAGCACTGGAAATGTCAAAAGATATATTACAATAATCTCAGCACCCTTCAAAACACAAAAATCAAATAACACCACAGTGTCTAACCAACATATGAGCATTCCACCAGTCGGTTAAACCGTATGTACTTCAGTGCGCCAAGTATTTTCTCCACTACTCAGGATGTTGATATGTCTGTAAAATCCCATGGAAAACTAAAGAATGAAATGAATCTTCACAACCATCACAGGTAAAGATGATGTAACGTTATATTTCAGTTTACTTTCACTACACATCAAGTCAACAGATGACTATGGGTGATGCATTAATGTATGCTGTCTGCAATCATAGGGCACATAAGTAGGTCACGGCACTTCGCGAGCCCTTAGTACTTCCGGTGACAACGATTCACACAAGTGGTCTCATAGTAGTCTGTTGACAGTAAGGAACCGACAATCCTATAATCGACCGTCAACAGCTGTGACAGCTGTTGTACACTTGGTCCGGTCTAGTAAAGTCATATTTGTCGGTTGCGCAATTTGGAACCAGAACTGGTTCTTGAATATACGCCTGCCACCGGACATCTGGTACCGGAAGTAAGCTTGGTTCCGCCCTACATATCGCAAGGGGGTGCACGCAAAGGACCAGCTTAGTACCGGAAGTAGCCCTGTTACAGGCCCTATTGTATACTGTCTGCAATTGAACATCCTAATTATGAAGTCCGTGTACGCCCGACACTGCTGTTAACAAACGGACCGTTCCAGCGTCTGTCAAAATGAGGGATTGTAGCAGGACAATTGACCCCACGTATCTCACCATTTATCCATCCTGAAGCTGGTAAATTACTCCAGATGAGCTCTGATACTGTCACTCTGGGAACTTTTTCAGCAAATGGATTGACAGAAGGTGTCAAGAAAGGCGGCAGTAATTTTAATGTGCATGGGTTCGGTTATCAGATTATTTATATTTTCCATCCTGGAAATGACATTTTATTTCTTGTTAAATGACCAACCTGTTTTGATTTAACAGGACACATACATCTTAAACACTAAACACTTAAACGATATGTCATCTTTAAAACACGCTGATCGATTTCAACCTGGTAAACTTACACTGGGAGTTACGTTACCTTCTGCGACTTTTCGGCAATGTAGTTTGGGGTTTAAAAGCAAAATACTAGATTAGACTATTATCAAACATGTGCATTGAAAATCACTGCACCTTCCACTTGAATGCATTCTTTCCTGATGATCGGAGTATTCGCTTTTAGTCACCTTCTTTGCTGTGCGGGGCGATAGGATAGTCTAAACGTTAAAGCGTCCTTTCATCACGCTGAAGACCCGGGTTCGATTGCCTACACGGGTACAATGTATGAAGCCCTTTTCTGGTGTCCCTCTCAGTGATATTCCAGGAATATTGCTAAAAGCGGCGGAAAACAGTACTCTCTCACTCTTCGGTGTGATATCATTCCCATTAACTGTCCTTGGCTTCTAAGACTTGGCTTCACTTTACCTCGGATTATAATTTGAAAAGGTTTTCTGAACAAAGGAATACGTAATATTCAAGCATTGCTGTGGCACATGTGACATTCGATTCTGTTTTTCCCCGATCACATCATTATTAGTATATCGGTAATCACGATATGCATGTATCTGCGCATTCTATATAAACTATCAGTCTCAACACAACTGCAATTTCAATGATGCAATTGAAACACGAGTGTGTAAATCAGTAACATTTTCAATACATCACATTACCATTCAGGTAATGAATGCCAGTTGTAAGAAGCTAGAAAGTGGAAAGGTTGATGACGCTCATTGGCTGATACCACGCCATTGCGGGACGAGCATGTTGAGCATAATACCAGTTGTGGGTTTGGTTGGTCCAAATTCGAGTACACTCGTTTAAGCTGGAACTGTGGGTTTTTTCACATCGGGCAACGTCTGTGAGAAACAATTTTGTGAACTGGTTTGTCCCAGCCTACGGGTAGACTTGAAACATAATTCTTCTGAAACAACCACGTTTAATCATCTGACTAAGGCTGTTATTATTTCAAATGAGATCATATGTTTAGGTGATATGAAAGGGATTCCAAATCCAATACAATCCTTTTCATAACTGTTACAAACGATGAAGCTTCTGATGTCGTTCCGTGTTTAAATACATTTTTCAAAGTTCCTAAACGCACACACACACACACACACACACACACACACACATATATATATATATATATATAATTGTCAAATATAGCACAGAAAATGGTTTGATGCGTGCTGTGTTCTTCCATAAAAAATTACTTACTATATGGAATAAGATCGATTTGTTGTGTTTTTTTATCCTTGATGGGCACGTTGGCAAGAGAGATTTCTAGCGATTTTGTCGGATACACTAAGGAACTTACCATAAAATGGAGCATTAGGATCAAACGCCGCCCACATCTGCGCTATGAAAAACGGCGACCAGCAGATTAAATAACAGATAATAACTGTCATTGTCAATTTGATTGTTTTCATTTTTGCTCTTGATATCCCGTGAACTGGTGGCTTCATTTGCACTGGCTGGACGTTTTCTTCAAGCACCCCTTTTGATAATACACTGTCCATGGTATTGGATTTGCCCGAAACTCTGGAATTCTGAAGAGTAAACCTTGGTGTAAGTGTCTGGGCCATTTTCCCACTTTTCCAAACCGAATGACATATGCATCCATACGCCAGAGCTAGAATTAGGGTGGGAATGATGTAAACCGAAAGGGTAATCCAAGTAATGTACAGTTGTAATTTCCACTCTGGTTCGAAAACACCCCAGCAATCGTAGATTCCCGTTCCTGGCGCAGTTTCCCTGTAGGAAAATATCGCAACTTGGGGTATGCTAAAAACAAGGGAGACAAACCACGCTACCATGACAAGTTTTTGAATCTTTCCGAAAGTCCATGTTGCGCTGGTAAGAGGCCGGCAGATGGCGTAGTAACGATCAACGGCTGTCGTCAGTAACACGTATGACGAGGCGTACATAGCAACAATTTGAAAATATTTCACAAGCCTGCAAAGTAGGTCTCCTCCTACGAATCTGTATGTAATATCCCAGGCGAGTTGAGGTAGTACATTAAAGAAAGCCACAAATAAGTCTGCCAAGCTGAGATGAACAATCATGAGATGCATTCTTGACAGCTTTTTCTTTCTGAACTTCAGCGTCAACATGACAACTGAGTTGCCGATGACTGCTAGGATAATTATAGAAACTTGAACGCCAATTTCAATCACGGCCAAATTTTCATCCCGGAGGTCAACTTTTGTGCTATTGACACTGCTACTATTCACAGGCAAGGCCACTGTTGAATTAATGGTACCAGTAATGAGCAGACTAGGAGAACTCATTCTGACGGACCACTCTCTTCTTATCGGACTGGCTTCGAAAACAAAGACGCTAATTTATTGTGAAGGCATGAAGCGTCCGCGATGATTAGATCCACTTATCATCTGTTCCGGCCAAGGCCCATGCGGTCATTTTGTCTTCGGCAGCAGTAGACCCGTGGGCAGCATATCCGTGTGAGGGGCTGCCTTCAATCGGCATTGCACTGAAAGGATAAATATATAGAAAGATAGAAAGTTAGTTTACTAATTGAAGAAACTGAAGATCATATTGAGTTATAGGTTTGTTTGGTTGACTGACGTATATCAGTAAGCTAGTTGTAACTGGAATGTATTTGAATATGGACAGGCTACAGGGAACTTGTTACCTACAGGTTGATCAATGTCGCTAAAACGCAACGTTTTGTGTTAATTGTTGATATTTTCTATAATATAATCCAGTTTTCAAAGTACTCCATAAACGTTACTGCACTAATGAACTTTGCTCGTCGGGTTTATTTACTCAGACAACTAATATTACAAGTTGTATTATGCCAAAATAATAATTTGCCTTGATCCAGTTTCCTTTTGAGAAAATGGGTGTTCTGTTTCATTCCACAACTAAATATAAACATGCTTCGTCATTATGTATGTATGAAAATTGGAAAACGTTAGATTTTAAGAAATGTAAATCACTTGTGTCTAGTATACAAGCCAATATGTTATAATGTATAAGTTAAATAAGAAAATGTAATCACTGACTTTACCTTCTTACGATAGTTTTCGGCAACAATAAACCAATAGTGTTAAACATGAATACGGATTTGTTTTCAGAGCATTTTCGGGTTTGTGGTTGAGTGAGTGAATGTGTCCATCGATATCAACTTATAGCCTTGAAATGAAGTACATTAACCACTTCAGAAAGTGAATCAAATGTGGCTATAAATATCTAAATCTCAAGACGTTCCTCTGACCATGCTTCCGCCCTGTTCCAATTTTCCTCTTTGTATGATGGGCCAACATGCTGTGCCTTATCAAACAACATCTTCAGATCGAGAATGTCGACGGAAGAAGACACATTCTGTTATCTCAACGAGTCAAGCCAACTAACAGAGTTAGCTCGTTAGTCAAAGCTTCAGTTTCAGTCTCTAGACAAAGCTCATGATTTCATTTACAAGAGAGGTCGATATTCCAATAACTCTCCGTTTATTACGAATGTAGCTTTGTAGTATCAAATGGGAGCAATATTTTATACAGTCAAACGAAATAGGATTTTTTGTAATTATCTTGATGGAGTGAGTAGTCAATATACATTACAAATTACGTAAACGGGAAAAGAATCATGACTGAGTTATTGTGTTGTATGACTGTATGTAATGTTCCTCATCAAAGAAAACACTGCGTTTCAGTGCCAACAACTTGTCTTTCAACTTAAGGAATAACAACATTGGGTTTGTTCAGAGGATTATTTGTGACCATTAGCATAAACTGAATGCTTTCATGTAATGTTTGTAATGTTTCCACAAATGGTTAAAAAGATTGATTACTTTCAACCATTTTAAAATTTGCGTTTTAGCTATTCTCTAAGCTGATTGGTCTGTGGAATGAATATGATGTATTACCCCTTATCAGAAATGGCTGAAGTTACATCAACGAATTTGATCTCATTCATTTGACTTACCCACAGCTCGTTGTCTATTTTCTCATTTCAAGATACATGCAACGTCTTCAAATCCAAATCTAGTTTTTCTATGTTGTAAATGAAGTGCATGTATACATAATAAAGCTTTTCGGAGTTAACAAGCATCCGTGAGGCCTCATTCGTTACTTTCTTGACAGTGCATAATCATGAAATGAAATAAGGTAACTGTTGTTCATGATCTTTGCAAGCGTGATCTAAATGTGAAACAGTTTTATCAGTTTATCATGCGTGTGTAAGTAATAATGAGTGTTGCATTTTGTATAATTCCTTACACTACTTCACTGTACTTATAAAGGCCGTGACATTCCTAAGGAATTATTCATTCAATGCATTTCTACAAATCGTTTATAGATATATAAGGGATTCATTACTGTATTTCAACTGCAACGGCCTACACAAACGAATGTTCAGAATTTTCCAGTCCCATATTTCGGAACCATGTAACTGCATACAGTCTGCATTGACCTGTCAAAAACATGAAAATACGTTTCTGAATAACGGAAAATAACACAAAGCCAGATTATATTACTTCAGACTGATTACAGACTCGCTGATTATTTAACAGCATGCCAAGCGATATCTATACAGACTCGCTGATTATTTAACAGCATGCCAAAGTCAACAAGTGGTATATCCATGGCCTGTTACACAACAAGGGAGTGGATGTGTGAGTGAAGGAGTTGTCTTTGTCCCTTGTTATGAAAATAATCAAAAACGTAAATCCCATACTTATTTTCCAACCCTACCTAGGCCCCTGCTTCACTAGATAGGAGTTCATATTTTGTAAAAAGAGATTTCTGAAAAAAATACAGACAAACATTCTATAACATGACTGAATCCTTTTCAAAATTAAGACTTTAATGTCAATGGCCTTGCTGGGTAGGAATACGCGACGGAGTCGTTTTTATACGGTGAATGTCTGGGCAATATGGAATTCATTGACACACACTAACCTCCTGCCGCCCAAAGCTTTGTAAACTGAGTAGGAATTGATTGAAAAACGTTCTTCGATTGGTTTCGAGGTATGGAACCCTCTGGAGATAAAAACCAAAAACCTGTATGTTGTTATTTGAACAACAGAAATTTTCTTACTGAAAGGGAGTGTACGCTGATACTTTAATCTGTAGGAAGCTTCATGTGTCCTGTAAATTGGGAGCCAAAACAATCGGTAAAAATTTCAGCGAAAGCAACAGTGTCCGTTAGGACATGTTTACGGAATAGTTAAATGCAAGTTTGTTTCAACAGTATTGTTTTCGATATGAAAAGTCGGGAAGTGGCATTGGTAATTTTCAGACGAATACAATATTGGCAAACAGTTAGGAAAATGAATACACACAATTACATCTCAATTATTGCATTTGGATGAGACAAGTGAATGTGGTTTTATACTGCCTTTGTAAATATTTCAGCAATATCACAGAGGGGACACAAGAAATGGGCTCCACACATTATGGGGAATCGAACCCGGTTCTTCGACGTGACGAGCGAACGCTTTAACCACAAAGCCACCCTATCGACTTTGGTGAAGAAATCAAGACAAATGATGTGCTCATCTTTCAACATGTCCACATACACGTAATAATTGCATATACACCAAGTACCGACTCATTTAAATTCGCCTTTATCCAACGTTAAGAATTCTACCGCATTCCTTTTATTGTCAGTTTAGTTGTCCTTTAATGAGCAAGTGCGGGTGTTGTCGATAGTTGACATTTTTACCCATGAACTTGTAGTGAACACTGATTCCCACTGGGCTATTTTTTCCTCTGGGAATGTTGTATTGAAACATATACTACTGGAATAAAGTAACTGTGCATAATTTGATGTTATGCCATTTTAATGCAAAAAGATATTAACATGATTCCCTTAATCATTGTTTAACTGTTGACAGAATAATATGGATAATATCTGTACGATTTGACACTAGGCATCGCGACACGTCCTTGGAGATCAGTTAAAGATCAGTCGACGACGACGCAAAGACGAAACTAAGGGATTGTTAAAGCTTGGGGAATGTTCTTCTATGTCTGAACCAACGCTTGTCCAAAATCAGCTAACGTCAATGGCTGATTCTGAGCTTCACGTAAACCCAAGCGTGCTCGATAAGGGACATGTCCGGAAAACAGCAAGCTAGGGAAATACCGAAATGTTCTGCTGCTTCAGGAAATCTGTCAAAACACAAAAGACATGTGACGACTCTGTCCTTAAATGAACGGCTGCACATGAGGCCCAATGGTGTCATCCCTGTATCGCAGACCTGTCACATTGACAAAGTCAAGTTGTGTCCCACCATGAGATGTGATGACTCCCCGTACCATTGTCAATGTTGAACAGCGCACGCATCAGCATACCCCTGTCTGTACACCCTGGTGATGCCATCTGAGCTGTCCAGATGAAATCTCGACTCGTCAGTGAACAAAATACTAGCCAAATCTTGTCTCCCGTACCGTAGATGTTGTGTGCACCAGGTCAGACGTGCCTGTCGGTGACGTTGGAGCATAACTGGACGTGGTGCAGGCCTCCGGGGCGGGATGATGTGGTCCCTCAGTCGGTTCCTGGAACTGATTGGACGTACACCAGGAATGGTCCGATGAGTCAAATTGGCAGTCTGGGATCGATTCTTTAGATGGGTCAACCGAATTTGGTAGTCTTGCTAACGTGACGTCACGCGTGGACTGCCGGTCCGAGGCAAATCATTACACATTACATTGTGTTGAAAACGTCTGCATAGAGATGAGATCGTGTTTCGATGGACACCAAAAAGTCTGGCCACTTCATTTTGGGCCATTCCAATTTCCAGCACACCCACGGCGCGGAGGAGCTGATTTTCTATAAGCCGTGGCATGACGTACGCGCAGTTTAGGTTCAGGTGTCAAAAAGCATGCAAGTTCATTGTGCACAAAGCGCCCGCGCTATACGTGACATCACATTTCTGGCTAAGTGTTTTGGTTACACTTAGGGTTACTTTTATAACTTTTCAAAAAGATGTTTTTATGCAATTTTATGTTATACCCAGTTACTTTTTTCCGTTAGTATATATCAATGTGCCACGGTACAGTAATACACACAGCTTCACACGTTCGTTGAACCGATATGACAACGCATTTTCGCGGCACTTTACATGATACCTGTATCTATATGACATCATGTTCAGTGTACAGTGCTTAAGCTTTGTTTGCAGTTATCCATGGCAACCATTGAGACCTGTACCATTAACATCAATACGACCTGATATAGCTGCTGCCATACTTTATGTTCGAGATGCATGTCCATTATTCTTTGTTACACGATTAATATACGGTTGACTGAGACTATGTTCATGATATCTGACTGGCTGGTCCTTAGCATTCTTAAATAAAACGCTTAAGAGTTGTTGTTTTTTCCATTTTTAAGAATTTTCAGTAGTTCCTAAAGAGACATGTCTTATATTCAATGTCAGATATGTTTACTAAGGGAGGAAAATGAATAATTATATTGCTTACGTTATGCGCACAAATTGTAACAATGTGAATGTACAGTGTAACGTGTCTACGAAACCTAAATAAATGTTGTGCAGTAGGATTTCAGATGTCCTTCACATGACTTTCCTGAACAGGTCATAACATGTAAAATGGTTATTCCATGCTGGGATTTGGAATGGAGCTGACATTTCACCGCCTCTTGGTTATTGGTTTGTTTTGCTTTAGAAGATCGACGTGTTGAAGCTTGTGTCAACGGAAGTGCGACTGACTTAAATGTTTTGTATGGATCGGCCTGCAGTTGCTGTGCTTTTTCAGCTGGTAGTGCTTGCGCATATCTTAAATGCTTCCAACATCTGCTTTTAGAAATAGAGTCATAATATTTTTTTATTACTGAGTAAAATACATTGTCAATCATGAAAGATTCCATATAAAAGCATTTCATTTCCATCTATAAATCATTAGGAATTAACGGAACAGAACAGAACAGAATAGAATTTTACTCTCATAAATCATACCAAATGATATAGAGAACATACAATCGTTTAGAACTGTGATAGTTTAAATAAAAGGGGGTATAATCTGATTTCATAAAGGAGATAAATTTGGCCGTATGTGGATTGTTTCAAATATAAGAGGGAAGTATCCTATTACGTTCAACATTAAGATGTGTACATGATGAAATAACATAAAACTCGTCACAAAGTACCAGTTTCAGTTATAACTTTAAAACAATAGTTGATGATTTTGACTTTTAAATGAACATCAATAGGATATCTGCCCAATTCACCATAAACCATAAAATGTGGAGTAGATTGTTTTGCTTTAACACACTTGTGTCAAGACTACTGTCGCTGTGGTTGCATCTGTCACGGGACATTTTGGGGACACAAGTGTGATCACGGCGACATATGTACAGTGACTTGGGGACCATAAAACAGTGAATTTTAACCGACCGAATGCGGTTCGCAGTCTTTGTAATGTTTTGACGATTACCGTATATCGTTTTACACAACACCCAACATAATTGTGTTTCTATATAATGAATCATGTTTCATGTCGAAGATGAAAAACACTTTGAATTTCATGCATGGCCCTCTCGTAACTATTGTAGCCAACGCATGCCACTCATGGAATAGAATTGTTATGGTCAAACGATGTCAAACAAATAGCTAGTAGCAAGAGCATCCACGCAGCTCTGTGCTTACTGGAATTGTCGTAGCACAATTATATCACGGCATTAATCTATAAACTATGATTCATACTTAACACATTTTCTATAAAATGATAAGTATCTGATATAGTAATATCTCTCGTGAACTTTCTGGAGGTTCTGATTCACTAACCCAACGATACATACATTATTTACATACCACCACAACAAAATATGATTACTATGTAAAATATGACATCTTAGCATGCCGATATCACAATGCATTTCGAAGGAGGATCAGATATAAATACGAAATTAAGCATTGACTTCTCATTGCTGAGACCTGCATTTTATTGAACAGATGTTCCATTTGAAATAATGTCAAATAATTGCTCCATGGATTAATTGTTGTAGAGAGGACACATATTAAAATTTCTTACAGGATATGTATTGAAGCAAAATACTGAGATGCATACAGGTGTCTCAACATTTCATATGCCCATCAATCAAAAAGCTTTAATTATACTCACCTCTTACCTCTGTTTTAACGCATAGAACTTCCTGCTCACTGTGTTTATGATATCAAGTGGTTGAACTATGAAAAGTGGCGAGTCTATACTAAGAAAGTCCGCACATAAAATGTAATCCCACCACAGCAGCAGTATACCTTTCTAGCGTGAAGAACGGCCCAGTTGCTGTCTGCCTGAACGTGGCGAGTTGGAATCATTACCAGGCTTCGTGCGAGCCTGTCAGTATTGGCGAATGAAATGAAAACGTGTAGCTCCTTGGCTACGGGCGCTTAATGCAAGAGACGATACTAAAGACAAGTATGGAACTATGGTGGCCAACTGACTGGTAGCAGGGGAACACATCTTACTAAATACTGTTTTCTTTACTGCATTTCTTAATGATGCTGTAAAGGGTGAGAACTGTGCAATGTGAACTCTGAATATCAACAATATTTAGGAGACGTCAGGAACGGACGTAAAGTTTTATAACCGTGCATGAAATACGTCGACTGAACGAAGTGGTTTTGTGCATAATATGATAGTCGAACCATCTGTGTAAAACTCTGTGGTAGACTCGAAAGTCACGTCACTCGAAATATGAGCTGTACCATGTAATCAGTTTGCAAAATGTGCAGTTCTGGAACGGTAGAACCATGTTTGTGAAATCGTCATGTATACCTTTCTACAGAACGATTACGAGATCATTCGTAACAGCATAAGAAAATGGTTAAGTTAATTGACTTCGGGGTCTCATTAAAAACCATTTGAACTTGGAGTAATGTGAGGCTCTTTTGGTTTGATGGATGGTCTGTGAAGGTGCTGGTACATTGTACATAAAGCAACAGCATGGTGTCTGCATTTGAATGAATACTGTTTTACGCCGCAATCAGGTGTATTCAAGCTGAACTTAGCAGAAAATTCAAGGTACAGTGAAGCGCAGTCAAACCAGTCACTCTATAAATCATCAATTACGACTCGCACTTGTTCTCCGTAGCTTTTAGAGTAAGGTTCTTCCCCGGAACCTCAAAGAGGGTAGCTTGTTGGAAGTGACCGGGTCACTGCTCCTGCCATGACTATTTTAATGCGATGCCATTCTAAACATGGTTAATGATTTCGTCTTATAAGCGTGTGTACTAATTGAGGGGGTTTACATATATGTGTTCGCGGTTGTAGCAGTGTACATGTACGTGACATTGTTATACCCTTGCAAGAAAGAGACGCAAGAAAGACCACTGTAGGTAATGTGACCATGCGTTTTGCAAGAAAGACCACTGTAGTTAATGTGATCACGTGTCTTGCAAGAAGGACCACTGGTGATAATGTGATCACGCGTCTTGCAAGAATGACCACTGTAGGTAATGTGACTCATGCGTCTTGCAAGAAAGACCACTGGTGATAATGTGATCACGCGTCTTGCAAGAAGGACCACTGTAGGTAATGTGACCATGCGTTTTGCTAGTAGGACCACTGGTGATAATGTGATCACGCGTCTTGCAAGAATGACAACTGTAGGTAATGTGATCACGCGTCTTGCAAGAAGGACCACTGGTGATAATGTGATCACGCGTCTTGCAAGAAAGACCACTGTATGTAATGTGACCATGCGTCTTGAAAGAAAGACCACTAGAGTTAATGGGTCCCTAGTATGGTGATCTACCTTCAGTTGTTGTCGATTACTGGCCCATTTTTACATTGTATTGTCAAAAAATAGTGTTCTACTTTTAAAGATATATGCTAGCTAGTTTTAACTCATTTTTTGATAATCTAGTGGTTTTACTGTCCTTCGCTGACAGGGTTTTATATATTATCTATATGTATTCTAAATTTAGAACTAGTTTTAGTCAAGATATGGCTGAAATATTGCCGATGTGACTTTACATTTTAACTCATTCCCTCACTCACTAGAGTTAATGTGATCACGCGTCTTGCAAACAAGAGCACTTGTGTCAAAGTGACCACACGTCTTGCAACCAACAGCACTAGCAGATATTCCGATCCCCACATGTACGCAATTGAATGAATACAGTTTGTCCTGATCCCCAAATTTCACACAGGTGTCATCTGTAATTCAGTATGTCCAGCATTTCACAAATTGTTTTAACAGAAAAGCTCAGATGCTTTTACCTTTTAACAAATTGTCATTAACTTTTGAAGACAGTGCCATAACTTTATCTATGGTCCCCGAGGATCACGGATAACATAATTAAGTCGTGTCTATGTGGATGCCGTGGGAACAGGGAGAACAAGAATGTATGGAGAGAGTTCTTCCATACATGATCTTCATAGTCCAGTAAAATTAGTGGAATAAATTACTGAACCTCCAAAAAATTGGCTCTATGGTCAGTTATGACGTGGTACACTTATGCCGTGGTAGACTTGTTTAATAACTTTCTTCTAGAAGAATCCCTAGCAATCCTGCGATCCCGATTAGAGTCGTGTATAGACCATACCAATACAAAACGATCCATCAACAGCATCATCAGCCTTGTATCCGGCTGTTTTGAAACATCCTATTTTACATGGTAAGATCAGATATATCGGCAGATTCATGGGATCTCCACTCTCATCTCTCATAACTGAGATATTCATGACCAACTTTGAGGAAATTGCTCTGGCTACTTCACCAGACACAACTTTCTCGTCTGGCAAAACCCTTAAAACTTTGATAGGTTCAAATGGTAAGGGATGCAATCAGGCTATCTCCAACCCAAGAAGCTGTGTATATAAACTAAAATGTGACTGTGGGGACATCAACATTGGTGAAACTGGCAGACCAGTAGCTACACGCGTGAAAGAACACAAAACTTCAGTCGACAAATCGGATCTGAAATCTGCAGTTTCTCAACACATTGTGAATAATCCCAATCATGAAATTGACTGGGAAACTGAAGTCCTGGCAAAAAACATTAGTGACTGGCGGAAACGCAAGCTGATTGAAGCTATCTTCATCAAACGTACAAAACCAGCAATAAACAGGGATCAGGGGGTGTACTTCCCGAATGCATGGTCCATGAAACAATAGACAATACACCACTGTTCCCATGTTTAAACCATAATCTTTACGCATGCACTGCAATTACTTTACATTATATACATTTATAAAGAAGTATCTGTACATTGCTAAATTAATCAACAATTTTGTATAAGTATCTATACATTTCTAAGTTAATCCAATAATAATTTTGCAGTCAACAATATTTTATATATTCATAATAACATGTATTCATATTAGCCCTGTTAGCTCTATCCACATGTATTGCGTCTTCATAGCATTGTGACGTCATAAGCAGTGTGACGTCACGGGCAGAGGTAACAGTTACTGTTCTTTAGTTCTACCTGATAATGGGGCCAGAACAAGCCCTGAAACGTTGTACCAAACAATAAAAAGAAGATGAATCCCAGAAAAGTCTCTATGGCAACTGCATACTATTATGCGAGCAGATTTGAGTGAACCCTAGAAAGTATTTATAGTATAACTGGTATTTTTTAATCTTAATTGAAATCTCAGCAACATTTAAAATACGATCTGAAATCTACATGAAAAACAAATGATTCACATAAACTGGATATATAACACATATTTTTAATGAAAAACATACCAATCTTTTTCTTAAAATTGGAAAGATCATTAACTTAGGCTCCTTGTAGTGAGTGTTTAGTTTAACGCTGCACTCAGCAATATTCCAGCAATATGGCGGCTGTCTGTAAATAATCAAGTCTGGACCAGACAATTAACAGCATGAGCATCGATCTACGCAATTGGGATACGATGAAACGTGTCAACCAAGTCAGCGAACCTGACCACGCGATCCCGTTAGTCGCCTCTTACGACAAGCATGGGTTACTGAAGTTCAATTGTAACATGGATCTTCATGGGTGATAGGCTACTTGTTAAAAGCTCCGGAAAGGTTTTGAAAGTACAACCCGTATAGTCCTTTTACTGCCAGTAAAAAAATTAATAATATTGGTATTTGTGAAACTGAAATTGCTAAAGGACAAATATTTTAAGTATTTCAAATAATTTAATTGTAGGTGGTACATACTTATTTATCAATCGTCTTAAAATTTTGTTCAGGAAACGAAAAGATTTCTGACTGACACAAGGGTGATTACATATCCCATGGTATTACATGTCGTTGGGGGTAATTGTCATGAAATCATGTACCATTCGATGTAGCGGTAAGTGAAAATCTATTGCAAGCACCGTTGATTCAAATCACCTCACCCAACTACATCTCAAATATTCAAGTTGGCCTGTATACAACCCTTCAAATTATTGGACTTCCTTTACTCAGAATATCTTCTGTTACTGTAACGTTTTGCTTGGAATAGCATTCTCACCAAGCATGATACTCAAAATTAATTCAAATATACAGACTATGAGACCAAGGGTATCTCTGTCACCCCATTGAAAAGCCCTTGGTGTTCAGGGTCACCATCACTATAGTTCAAGCCACCTATAAGTTAATTAATACCTTGTTCAGTTATTAATGTCTCTAGTTACAGAAGTAGGAGCTAGGTGCAACGCTTCCGAAAATGGGTGTACACAGGATCAATTCATTCAATTTGCAACAGATAATGTAGATCAATCTGAGAACATGGATTAACGCATACCGATGATTTTTCTGCGAATCAGGTGACTGTTTGCAAAGGATGCCGAAGTGTTGATGCGCTGAAATGGATGGATTCATATGTCCTGGGTTCATATGTTACGGAGATGCTGAATCAAATTGCTTGATGTCTTGATCAATTCATGTAGAATATATAATGAACCAATATATTGTATCATTCTCAGTATTGAGTTATTTTACCTTCGTGCCTATGATCAACCTGAATCTCAGACTCAAAGCTGTATTTGCTCAAGGTACGTGTTTGTGAGCGGTCAGACATAGAAGTACAATGTCGGTACACATTTCGACAAGCCACATATATTTGGTTAACCGGAGTCAAGAGGTCTACACAGATTCATATTCACGTTGACGTCAGCTGGTTGTATTTCACAGATAATATCTCACATAGAACACTATAATGGATTTACTGTGAGAATTTGTCACCCATATGTTGACATGGAAGTTCCTTCATGCATGATCTGGTCCCGTGTACTTCAATCGGTTACAGCAGAAACATATTGATGTGGATTTCAGTCTTTAGCAATAAATACACTCTTCTTTTCGTAAACTTAAACCTAGTGTCATGGACAAATACCCGGAGAGCAAAGTTACCACTTAGTTTCTCAATTGAACTCCCATTGATAGTCGTTGCAAGTATACTCCATGGACAGTCAAACTTATTGCCAAGGTAATAACA